GATACAATTAATTTTATAAAAGAAAACGTTGTGCCAGGTAAATTATACTATGCTTATTTCGAGAACCCAAATACATATGAACCATTCTGCGAAGTGGTTAGGAAAAATTTTAAATGGCCCTCGATTAGAATTAAAAGATGTTTGAAAAAATTAATCGACATAGTAGATAAACAAAGTATACCGGAAATAATACAGAACTACCATGAGAGTAAGACGAACCATCGCGGAATCGAAGAAACCGAAATGCGTATTAAAGAAAAATATTACTGGCCAAATCTTAAAGAGTCTATTCAATCGTACATAAATGAATGCGAAATATGCCAACGAAGTAAATACGAACGACACCCATTAAACATGGAAATGAATATTACACCCACGGCAACCAAACCTTTTGAAACTATTCACCTTGACACATATACATTAGATAAAGTTAAATTTCTCACAATCATTGACAGTTTTTCCAAGTACACACAAGCTTACGCCCTAAATTCATTGTCAGCCACCGAAATTAGCGATAATTTAATATCGTTCTTTTCACATCACGGTGTTCCATCCAAAATCATTTTAGACAACGGAACTGAATTTAAAAATACAGTGGTCACAGAACTATTACAACTTCATAAAATAAAAATTCATTTTTGCTCGCCCGAGCACCCCCAGTCTAACGGAGTTATCGAGAGGATACACTCCACTTTATCCGAACACGTAAGAATTCTAAATAATCGTGGCTTCCTGAAGACACCTATCAGCCAAAAAATGAAATATGCAATCCTAGCATATAATCACACTATCCATTCGGTGACTAAATTCAAGCCAATAGATGTTATTTCAGGACACATTAGCCCAAACGATCCATTTGACCTAAAATTAGACCAACTTTTATTGACAGATTATGTCACAGAACATAAAAATAAGTCTAAACTCTTATATTCAACCATCAATGAAAAACTTATAAATCAGAAAGAAAAAATCATAGGAAAGATTAATGAAACTTCCGATAAACCAACATTATTCCACCCAGAACAAAAAATATACATTAAAAAGCATACACGTCAAAAACTAGCCGATAAGTTTACACCTCAGACACAAGTGGAAACCGTTGATCCAGTACGTAAAACAATTGCAACGACCTCCCACGGAAAAGTACACATGGGTAACATTAAACGTCCATTGAGAAATAAATATAGTTTTGACACTTAGTTTTAAGAATAAAATATTATATTACAATTACTCTAATTAACTATTTTAAATGCATTTTATATCATACGCTTGCTTGTTAGCTTTATAACAATAAATATTATATTTCAGTTTCTTTGCCTACGCGTTTGGGACTCAAGAACAAATAATCATCAGAAAACTGGATGACAATCCTGGCATAATTCCAGTCAAATTAGGGAACGCGAAAATCAAAGATTACACCTACACCCTGATACATTATTATGACTTGAACCCAATAATACGTGAAATAAATAAGCTTCACGTAAAATCTAATAATATTACAAACATTCTTAATGGACATCAAGATTATTCTGAAGACATTAGCAATTACATAAATTTGTTGAAAATAACACAGAATAGAATTGATACAAAAATATCAGAGATTATTCCTCAGCCACAAAGAATTAAAAGAGGACTAATTAATGGCTTAGGATCAATATTCAAATCTGTAACTGGAAACCTAGACGCATCTGACGGAGAACGTTACGAGCATATCATTAGGGAATTACAAAACAATCAAAATAGTTTACAAGAAAGTGTTCTGAAAGAAAACTCGCTTTCTCTAACAGTAATCGAAAAATTTAACCAGACCATTAAACAAATAAATCACAACGAAAAACTTCTAGAATCAAAAATTAACCAAATTGCACACATGGTACAGAGGGCAGCATATAGAGAAAATTCCCTCTATATCAAAGACATAATAAATCAAATAGTCAATATCTATGAGATAATTGACTCTATTTTACAAGATATAGAAAATTCCTTAACTTTTTCAAAATTGAAAATTATGCATCCAAGCATAATAAAAACTGAAGACCTCTATCATGAATTAAACAAACTTCAACAGCGTTTAAGTTCTGAACAAATGCCCCTAGCGGTTACTTTGGAAAATACTTCACTTTTTGAAAAAATAATTGAACTGGAATATTTTGTCATTAATAATAGAATAACATACCTAATACATATACCAATAATGTATTCGGAAATTTTTGATTACTTTCATTTATACTCGGTTCCAGTACTTTCTCAGTCAGTTTAAGGTTGTCTTACCGCGAAATAAATTCTTGCTGAAAAATAAATTGCACTACACATACTATGGCCAAGAATGTCAAGAAGTCACTCCGAAGTCCCATATTTGTGGAAAAGAAGACATTCACAAAATTCAAGAAGACAGCCCATGCGAAATTAAACTACTCCACTCTGACAAAAATACCTCCACCTGCGAACAAACCAAAGTTGAAGTCCCACAAATTATCATCAATCGATTGGACGATTCCAACCAATGGATATTGGTTGTTCCTGTCAAAGAAGCCATCCAACTCAAGTGCTTTCAACAAAAAGAAGTACAAAACATCATTGGAACATTTATGCTCCAAATACCGATTGGTTGCCAAGTGGCCACCGCTTCCAAAAGAGTCATCAATGAAAATAGGACAATCAAGACCGATACTCAACCGATACTGTTTCCTGACATACCAAATACACTCGCCATGATGCCGACCCTCAATCTAAGTCGACATCTAAATTATTTGAAGTTAGACGACCTTCACCAATTGAGCAAAGAAGTATTGGACATACGCCCACAACTGAGCTTCACCGAAATCAATAGATTGCCCAGCCTTGGGACAATCCTTATATATGTCCTCATCGTTATTGCCTGTATCTTCTTGGTTTACATGAAATATGTAAAAGCTGCCATGAAGAAGAAGAGGTCCACCCCCGTTCCAGAAGAAGACCGGAGTATTCAACTCCGCCCCCGCTAGCGTGAAAGTTGAAGCTAAGAAGGGAGGAGTTATATCACGTCTATTTGCTGAGTCCTCATTTAAAATGCTTATTCTGCTTTTCAGCTTATTATAAATAATATGTATTTTCTTAGGATAGTTAGTCAGTTGAAATTTATTATACTTATAACTTTTATTGTAACGTGCTTTCGCTAGTAATAATTTCGAATTGTTAATAAAGTCATTTTTTAAAAACCAACCCTCGGTTGCTGACTTGTTAAATCACTGAAGGATTCTGAGATTTCAAGCTGAAATCTATGAGAAAAGGCACTCACAAAAATTGAAAATTGATAAATTTACTCTAAATTGCTTAACACAATTTTATTTCTGGAACTATAGGTCCAAATGAGCTCAAATTTTTAGGGATTTTAGTCCTTTACTGGAATGGGAATCGCTGAAAATTTCAGCCTTCTATCTATGATAGAAAAAAAGTTATGATTTTTTGAAGTTTTTAAAAATCCAAATCATAATTTCGTATTAAAATCGTGAAATTTCAATTTTTTTTTACGTTGTGATTTTGTGTTCTTATAATCCTTTGAAATCCCCTGGCCCCAAACTCCATACACTAAATTATTCCGAGATATGAAGCCAAAATTTATGGAGAAAGGCACTCAGAAAATTGAAAAATTGATAATTTCACCCCAAATTGCTTTTATTCCTGGAACTATAAGTCCAAATGAGCTGAAATTTTCAAGGATTGTAATTCTTCACTGGGATAAAAATCGCTAAAAATTTCAACTTTATATCTACTGTAAATACTAGGTACTATTATAATCGGCCATATTACAATACTGTTCCAATCCAAAATTCATAAAAATCGTGCAAGTCGTTTCCGAAATAATTAAGACGTTCCATACTTAAAACTCACGCTGTATACTCAAATCCAATGTAAAATACAAAAGGGTTCTATTGTTATAAGTTATATAATAAATATGGGATAATTTCTAAACAATATTTATAAATCATTATACTTTTCCTCAATTTTATTCAAAACAGCCATACTAATCTGTAAAGGTATAGGTACGTATTTCCTTGTAAGGTGATAAGCACATACTGATTCTTTTTGAAAGTCTTCCTTTTCCAGGATTTTATAATTTCCAGTGACTGGTGGTTCTAGTGATTCTAAAAGTGATTCTGCAGAAAATGATTCAGTTAGTGTCTCACTTCCTGAAGAAATGTTCTCCATTTCAAAAGAACTTAAGTATGGAAGAATCTGATCTGATGGTTTTATGCTTGCTTTTTTTGACATTTTTCTTGATTTCTCAGTTTTCCTTTTTTTGTTGTATCTGGTTGAAAGTGGACTGTATAAAACTGCTGAATAAATCAGATGATAACTTGATTTCAATGGTTTTTTTTGTGAAAAATTGGAAAATAATGGTTACAAAATAAATTATAATGGTTACTGCTGAACGCTACAGAACCGAATGCTTATCCTTGTCGCGCGGGTTTTGGTTATGAACATTTGTCTCTTATCGTTTGTCTTCTTGATAATGTTTTAAGCTGTTTCTTTTTTGCAACTCATTCCTTGAACTCTATAAATCTGTTGATAGTCTATTGTTATTCTTTTGAGAGAACCAGCACAATGCTGATTTTCTAATCAATTTGGTATTATTATTTTAAAGGATAAATTTTAAATATGACGTGTAATAAGTTTTGAATGTGTAGGTGAGCTTCTAAATCCCTTTTATTGAATTTTAACAGGCGTTAACAATATAAATTTTCATTTTTTTCATTTTTAGAAATAATGGCAATTTTGTGGAATTCTTGGTGTTTTTGTGGAATTTTCTGACATTTTTGGGCATTTTTGTGAAATTTTCTGGCATTTTTGGGAAATTATAATCGTAGAAAATAGAATAACCTAATTTACCGCATCGATAAATAAATTACATACATCTGATATCTGATGTTGACCTTAAAATCATCTGTCCAAATGTGTAATAAAATTTGAAAACCCTTCTTTTTTCAATCATTTTAAATTGGTATATTTTTTTTTTCCAGCCAAATCACCTAATTGGTTTGAAACAAAAATACATAAAACTTTCCTTCTATAATCAATCAGATTTAATTAATGTTAAAGTTGAATTATTGAGACAAGTGAAGAAAAATAGAGCTACCCGTAAGGAAAATTCTTATTATACCGAAATGTTAGCAATGCATTTAGCTAATGATATGAACGAGAGTGTGAGTACCAATAAAGTTACTACTGATCAGATGGAGAATATTTTGGACATAAGGTAAATAGCCAGATGCTTGTTGTAATTAAAAATAAAATATTATTTTGTTTTCAAAGAGAATACGATGTACCTTACCATGTAAGAGTCTCAATAGATTTGAGGATATTTTGTGGCGCTTGGTACACTATTAAAATGAAAGGCTCTTTAGACGCCCCTCTAATAACAGCTAACAAGGACATCATCGAAAGGCCCGAACCCATTGTTTTGGCTTTTGATATCGAAACAACCAAATTACCTTTGAAATTCCCAGATGCGGCCACTGATCAAATTATGATGATTTCTTATATGATTGATGGAATTGGTATGTATAAGTATATAAATAACTAAAATATACCTAATTATAACAATTTTTGCTTTAGGTTATTTGATAACAAACAGAGAAATTTTATCAGCGGACATAGAAGACTTCGAATACACACCGAAACCAGAATTTGAAGGAAAATTCACCATTTTCAACGAACCAAACGAAATGGGCCTTCTGCAAAAATTCTTCGACCACATCATGGACGTACGGCCTCACGTCTTTGTCACATACAACGGTGACTTTTTCGATTGGCCTTTTATCGAAGCCCGCGCCGCTGAATACGATCTAGATATGAAACAGGAAATTGGATTTTCACGAAACAGAGAAGGAGTTTATTGGTGCAGACCTGCAATGCACATGGATTGCCTTTGTTGGGTAAAGCGCGATTCTTATTTGCCTGTCGGATCGCAAAATTTGAAAGCAGTGGCCAAAGCCAAATTGAGATATGATCCAGTCGAATTGGATCCGGAAGAAATGTGTCCTTTAGCCTCGTCAAACCCGCAAGTACTATCAAATTACTCAGTTTCAGACGCTGTTGCCACTTATTATCTTTACATGCAATACGTGCACCCGTTTATATTCGCTTTGTGCACAATCATTCCTTGTGAACCTGATGAAGTTTTGAGAAAGGGCTCGGGCACTTTATGCGAAGCCCTACTCATGGTAGAAGCTTTCAAGGCAAACATAATCTTTCCTAATAAACAAGAAACGATATTGAATAAACTTACAGCAGATGGGCATGTGCTGCACCAGGAAACTTACGTTGGCGGTCACGTAGAAGCATTGGAGAGTGGAGTATTTCGGGCGGACATTCCTTGTCGATTCAGAATCGTCCCTGAAGCTGTAGACACGCTGATTGAACAAATTCCGAAGACTCTAGAACATGCCATTGTTGTTGAGGAAGGTGTACCGATGGAATGTGTTACCAATTTACAAGAATTGATAGACGAAGTCAAGGCTAAGTTGATGGTATTAAAGGTAAGAATTTTTGCCTTTTTCATATTGAAGCTATGAGTAACGACATACAATACAGCAATTTCAAAGTGAATTAGGTATAATAGAGCTGTTTCAAAAGAATTAAAGAACATGCAAAAAGCAAGAATAGTCTACATAGTCTAGAGATTTTATAAAAAAAGAATGCACTATGGAAATGTTTGGGAAATTCCCAGGAAGTTTCTTGAAAACTTTTGCAGAAATTTCCAATTCTATTTTATTCTATTCAATGCAATTTATACAACTTAGAAGCAACCTATTTTCCATTAGTTTTTATACTAAAAGTTCCTGGTATAATATACACAACAATTGCAGATTCCAAATTTGGAATGTTTTAGAAATTTAAACTTTTAGGACTCATGTTTCAAAGACTCTCACAAAAAAGCAGTAAAAAAAAACGAGCTGTAGCCATTCCAGAGTTGAAATTGATTTTAAATGGTTATGAAACTGAAATGAAAAGGTGTAAAAATCTTATTCCCAGCTTGAAATTTGAACTAGATAAATAGAAAAGTTTTATTACTGGTGCTCCTAGTACTCTAATCCTAGGTAGTTCATTTTTGAACATCTTTTCTTGCGACTGCTTTTGCAAACAGTCAATTTTGCAAAAGTTCCGTATGTGTTATTTAAAGCCTTGGAAACATGATAGTATTGGCTTGTTGTGAGGTTATTGGTGTGTTTATTTAGCATGAATTTCATAGCTAGAAGATTTTCCGATAGCTGAAATGATGTATTTTTGATTTTCGTAATATTGGCATGTATGTGGTATGGTAATGACTTACAATTAGGGAGAAAGATATTTCTTCTGTATATTATCCGTTATTTGGTATTTTGTGTGCCAGAAGTGCTTGGCTGAGGTTCGTCTGATTCTGTAGGGTCACGATCAGTAGGCTGAAAAGAAATAGGGTTTTTCCTAAGTTTTTTATTTTTCTGATATGCGTAGTTGACGGTTTTGTTTTTGATATGCCTGTGAGTTTATTTCTATTCGTGTTAGATACTTTTGTGGGTATATATTGGGGGTTCATTTAGTTGCGTAATGGGTTTTTTCTGTAAACGATTTGATCTGTTTGAATGTCAGGGGGTTGTTCAGTATTGATATTCTGTCTTTGAGTATTTTGAGTCTGTTTTTGATGGGCATTTTTGTAGACATGTTCATGAAAGGGTACTAGTTCCTTTTTTCGGTTCTCGTTTGAATTGTTCATAAATGGTTAGGTCAATGGGTGGTATGAATAAAAACGAAGTATTTGCTACTACCACAAGTATTAGTAGATTCTTCGTAGTATTTACTATAAAACGAAGTAGATACTACATTTCGAAACTACCGAAAATAAGTAAATACTTCTTTTTGAAGTAAATACTTCGTAGAATATACTACTACTTGTAGTAGTAGCAAGTACTTCGTTTTTATTCATACCACCCATTGTTTATGTTGGGTTCGTTAAGGTAGGGCCCGTACATGACAGAAAATGGGGAATGCACGCTGACAGCTCCAAAAATAAAAATAAGCATATTTACAATTCCAAACAATCCAAAGGATGAAAACTTTATTATTGACCCTAGACAGGTTAATTCCACAATTCAGCAAGTTCAAAATGCATTAAAATTAAACGAAATCCAAGGCCTAGCCGATGCCGGAAAAGAGAGTGATGGCTGGCAACAAGTTAGTAATTTCCTAATTGGGGGAAATAGTTCAGAAATTTCATCTATATCTTTTGTTCCTAAACCGATATCTTTACATATCACTAGACTAAACGCAAGTCCAAGTACTAAGCCTGAAGACCTACACAGTGTTGTTCAAAGGGCACAATTGTGCCAAAAGTGGCACTTTTCGCCCGCAAAATGCACGGTGGCACCACTTTGAAAAATTTGGCACGATTCACATTGATTAGATATTATCCTTTTTCAAATTTTTAAGATGAGAAAGACTGGACCTGGAGCAGGATTTTTCGTTTATTTGTATTCTATTGTATTTTTTGTTCATTTTATTTCTGTGCTAATGACCTCAGAGACTCTTTTTTCCAACAAAAGTTTATGTTGATTTCCACCAAAAATTTACTGTTGCATCAGCTTATTGCTGTCACGCGACTCTTTGATGGCATTGGTGGAAGCACCACATATCCACCACAATTTACATAAAAGAACGCTTTGGTGGACCAAAATCGAAATATCTATATAAATGTTATATAATCTGTGCTTCTAATTCAGAAAAATTGGAATGGATAATGCGAGTAATGCTGCCATTGCAAAGCGAAATAGAAGACTCCTCAGAGGATCTCAATTTCCTTTGCGGTAATTTTTCTTACTGAATGTGACAAATATTAGGCCGGCATAGACACACGTTCTTTCGCGCGGTTTATCGTGTCATCTGCAAAAACCTGTGAAAAATCATGTGCGTGAGTGAGGAGGGCTACACGCAATGATAGAATGGGAAGGGATTTCACACGTGCTTTCATCTGGAATGTGGCATCACTACTCGAGTACATGATAGTGCAGTTCACACCCGTGTCCACACGCCATTCCACGTCACGGTTTTGAGGCTAGTATGAAAACATGAACGCCGCGTTGCAAGCTATCACGTTGAATATTAGTACATGACAACATTCACTTCCAAACGACACGATAAATGACATTTTTTACCCATAAGGCCGGCATACACACACGTTATTTCACGCGGTTTATCGTGTCATCTGCAAAAACCTGTGAAAAATCATGTGCGTGAGTTAGGAGGGCTGCGCGCAATGATAGAATGAGAAGGGATTTCAGACGTGCTTTCATCTGGAATGTGGCGTCAGTACTTAAGTACATGATAGTGAAGTTCACAACCGTGTCCACACGCCATTCCATGTCTCGGTTTTGAGGCTAGTACGGAGACATAAACGCCGCGTAGCGAACTATCATGTTGAAAATTAGTACATGACAACATGCACTTCCAAACGACACGATAAATGACACTTTTTACCCATACACATACGGTTTTTCCTTTCTAACTGATATGCCGCGCGTAATCACGTGCGAAATCATTTGAATACTTTGTCAAGTGTATGGAACATGACGCTTTTTTTGCCACGCCGTTCTTTCGCGCGTGCAAACCGCTATATCCCAACACGCCACGATAAACCGCGCGAAATAACGTGTGTGTATGCCGGCCTATTGTAGATAAAAGTTACGTCATCAGCTTACTGGTTCTCCATTCCTTATCTTATAGCTTCAAACAAATGAGCTAAAAAAACAAATCAAAGACTATGCGGGTCACACAACAAGCAGTAGTTAATTTTCTAAGGGGATGTGGTCTACCAACGCAAAAGCACCAGAGTAATCACAGTTGTTTTCTGTTGGAGCTTGGTTGCATCAGGCTTTCATCGGATGAAATCCACCATAAATTCACCAGTAAAATAGGAACGCGGTGTGGTGGACCATCATATTTCCACCATCAATAAAAAAACGTTTTGGTGGCATCATGTTTTCACCTGGTGAATGTCTGATGGAAAAAAGAACGCCCCCTGCCTGTGAGAATTGTGGTGGATCTGTCGGTCTTGGGCTCTGTCGATGTGAATATTCTCCTTGGATGTGAGTAGAGTTAAGACTAGTGATAGTGACGTGACTGTCAATTGTCATTATAGTGATTTAATATATGAACTATATTATATCTTTCTCCTTTTAGTCATTTAATAAAAAGAAATGGGTAGAAAGTCAATTTATTAGGTAAGTGGCACTATTTGGCACTATTTGAGTGCTGCTGCAGGCACACACGAAAATTCCCCAAGAGCAACCCTGGACCTACAGTCATTACGAAAAAAACATTTTCCTGAGGTACGCACTGAGATGCACAATTCAAAACATCTTGAAGTGTATTCCTGTTTTAAGGTAACAATTAATCAATCAAACTTTAGAAAAGCCTGGAGCCTGGAGCAAAGATGTATGGCCAAATGGAGCTGTTGTCACAAGGTTTTTTTTCAAAACGGGAATTACCAGGGCCAACAGGAGCAGTGGTAAATCCAGAACACTGAACTCTCAAGATCAAGAACCAATTACCTGCGGTGTAAGTGTTATTGGTACACATGATAATATATCTAAATATAAATAAAAACTGTCTTCTGCATCAAAATGTGCGTTTTTTGAACTACTCAAAAAACAAGGTCGAAAATCTTTTATCAACTTACCAACCTGATATTTTCTGTGCCACTGAACACTGGCTAAGTGAAACTCAAATTAATGTTCTTACACCACAAAACTACAAACTATGCCCAGGTGGGTTGCATGGTGGAGTAGCTATCTATATAAACCCAAACCTAAGGTATCAACAAAGGCCAAATATGTCTGGCTTATCGACGACTTTTGAAATCGAGTGTGCAGCTGTGGAACTGACAATCAGGACTGATAATTATGTTGTGAAGGGAGCACCGCCCCCCTACGGTACCTTTCAAATTTTTTTAAAGACCATCTGTAATATTGTATACAATGAAAATGTTAAAATTATTTTGATAGGTGATTTTAATGTAATAAGAATCAATTTTTAAACGTGTTACAGTCTTTTGATCTGTTCCCGATTGTATATGAGAATACGAGGGTTACAATAGCAAGCAATTCATGTCTAGATAATCTTATTAATATAGGTAAATTAAGCAATTTTGCTAGTAAATGAGCACATCTCTGATCATCTAGGACAGCTAATAAAAATAAACACCTCAATTATGAAAGAACCTTAGTTAAATACTCCAGGGACTATGGCTTACACAACATAAATAACTTTATGAATGACCTAGCTATTGAAACTTGCGCACCCATATAATATGAAAACAACAGCATAGATCTAAAGTGGACTTCTTTTAAAAACTTATTTTTGTACTATTTCCACCTACATTTCACATTAAAAAAGTATTACCCACATAAATCTAAAAATACTAAGCACTCTCGAGGAAATAGAATCTTGCAGAAAACAATTGGATTTATACTATATGTTATCGCGATACAATAGTAACTATAAAAGT